ACCCACACCCACACCCACACCCACACCCTTAAATTCACTAATGAAAAACGTGAATGAATACTTATTGGCTTTTTCAAGCATACAAAACCTTATCTAATGAAAATGAGTGAAATAATATACACCAAACAGGTTGATGATAGATGGGTGACAAGGCTCTTGCAAGTTTAGATTTTAAAAGTTATATAAACTAAAGGGAAAATTAAAATGAAAGTGTTTTGAAAATATAATCAAGAATTCCGATTAGTGAGTAAAAATGATTAATCTGTAATTTCGAGAACGTATATATAACTCAAGATCAAAACCATACAAAAGAAAACGTTCAATTTTAGTAGGACTCGCTAGAGATAAATGCTCAGTAAAGCTTGTCATTGTTCGGAAAAAGAGAGCAAACTAACATTCTTCATGTTCCGATGAAAGAAAGTAACTTTTGTTCTATTTAAGTTTATTTATGCTATTTTGTGATCTAGTCTATATATGCTTACTTGTGCTATGTTTTGTTCTACTTAGGTTCATGGATACTTTTTTGACATAAAATGCTGGAATATTTGAAAGTTGAAGAGTATATATTTATGAAACAGTGCAAAAAAAGGAAGCAACTTCGTGTCTTAGTTGAGTTGAAGATGAAGAATTTCACTTCAATAAACATCAGTTTTTGGAATGGCAAAAAAAAAATTTAAATATCGTAGCCAAATTAATTTTTAATGGTTCATAACTGCCCAATTCTCAAAATAATTTTCCTGAGAAACGGCCCATGACTCAAAAATTCATGGCTATGCCACTGTTTCTAGTAATCGATATACTGCTTTTGCAAAAAAAAAGTTACTTTGAAACAATAAATACACTCATGGGTGACTAAAAGACTAGTTTTTCGGCTCACACTACTAAAACCTGCTATTAATTACAGCCGTCCACTTCATTGCAGTTTTGTTCACGATTATTCAGGTGGTGAGTTTACGAACATTCACACGTGTTGAAAATATCCATATTTTCGTATATAGGATTTTTCCCAACGTGATATGTAGGAAATTTCCCACTGTGTTATCTTAGTTGGCATAGGGAATTTTCCCAATCTATTCTTATATATATATATATATTCGTGTTCGTTCTACACTATGTTGTCAGAATGTACATTTATTATCTTGTTCTCTAACTGTTCTTCTTTATGTCTCCTCTTCTTTTCTTCTTCTTCAATTTGTCATCATAATCGAGATATCACAATAAACGGAACTCACATAAACTACAAATCTACAATGATTTCTATCTCGTCTGATACAGATGTGAATGTCAAGGGTGTTGACATCCATTAGTATTTAATATGCTATAATACTAAGAACAGAAATATATGACTCTTTGTAATCATTCATTATCATCAACGATCAGTCATTATTATCTACTTTTTGTTTCACTGCTCCATATGGTTATTTGTGTTGCTATCTTAAATACGAAAATCTCTAATATGATGTTATCATAGATTTCAGTTCACTCAATTTTTTTCATAAAAGTTCACATCTTTCAAGACATTATACTCTTAACGATGAAAAAACGTTTAATGATACCTTTCTTATGGCACATCAGTTTCAGTCCTTGACATGTACATTATATTTGATAATTGAGTAAGTTTAACAGATCCTGCACTTTGCTTTCTTTTCAAAAGAATACAAGCATTATGTCAACTTTGAGAGACGAAATTGATATGATATAAAAAAGGTATCACTAAACGGTTATTCATCGTTAAAAGTAGAATGTTTTGAAAGACGTGAACTTTATGAAAGAATTTGAGTTAACTGAAATCTACGACAACATTATATTAGTGAGTTCTGGTTTTATGATAGAAAAACAGATGACGATGAGAAACAGTGCAGTGAAAGGTAGATAATAATGGCTGATCGTTGATGATAATGAATGACCACAAAAAGTCATATATTTTTGTTCTGATCATTACAGAATATTGAATAGTAATAGATGTCCACAGATATGACTTTCACATCTGCACTAGACGAGATGGAGATCGTGGACGAAACTACACTGCAAGTGGGCGGCTATATATAACAGTAGACTTTTCGACTATGAGCCGAAAAACAATAGTCTTTTAGTCACTCATAAGTGACTTCCTTCAAAAGTAGTATATCAATTATTAAAAAGTATTTAAGTTAATTTATTAATTAAAAGCATAATGGCATAAGTACTTTTTAGTACTTTTGGAAGTAATAAAAAGTAATTTTTACTTATAAGTGTACTTATAATCACTTAAAAAGATTCTCTTGCAAGTGCTATTTTCATTTTGCAAAAAGAATAATGAAAGTACTTAATAGTGGTTTTTTGGATCAAAATTTTTACATGAGAGAAATACGTTCATGAATTTTACGTCAAATAACGAAATACATTGAGAGAAAACTGTCACGAGAAAAAATTATATATATTAGAGCAAAAACTTGTAACATTATTTGTCAATCAGGATTAGGTTCAGCACCTCCATCAATTGATAGATTATATAGAGTTTAATCATTAGATATTATTCACGAACCATCTTGCTCAACTTGAATATGCATATCTATACATAATCATTTAGTAAATTATACAACTGACGTCTATTTAGCTTTTGAACTTTATAGAAAAAACTAGCAAGTACGAATGCAATGTCCACCAGAGAAACTATTTTTGAATAGTTCAATATTTCATATTGAATTGTTATATGTGTGAAGTGTTTGCTCTTATTCATTTAAAACAATTTCTCTTTTGAATGACAGTGAATGTCAATGTTGAATACTCTTTATATCAGATAAAATCAAAACTACATGTCTTTCGTTGAATTTACTAATTCATTTTGAGCTCTCAACTATTTTGCGAAAAATAACTTAACTAGGTTATAAGCTTTTCATAAGTAATCATTTTATCCGTAAAAAAGCTAATAATTATTGATCATTTATATAAGAAACGCATTGAATCATATAAACCATGCACTTATCACATATTAGCAAGCAAAGTATCTATATGATTTGTACATGAATATTTTTTCTTTTTTTGCTCTTATTTCTTTGTCTCGTTTTGGAAGGCCTACGCATAACTATGATACTACTATACTCATATGCATTGATTAATAACGACGATGTGCATTTAATATAGTCATGGTTGATTGCTCTCACTCGATTTGTCTTCTTACCTTCATATCACCCCCCCCCCCCCCTTAACCATTTTTTGAGGATAGACCTTTTCTGTGTGCGCTCTGCGTTAGAGTGAAAACAGCATTCAAACACACACAAATTTGCTCTTCGCCATACTATAACACGACGAATGAGGTAAGATCAAATTCTGGAGGAAAAAAAAATCGCTTTTTATTGTTTTTTTAATTTATACTTGTTTAGTAATAGTAAGTCTAGGTAAGAAAGTAAATTTAAAGAAGATGCATTTATTTAAAGAAAAAATTTCAAATCTTTAGTTCTCACAGCGATCATCGATCATCACGTAGTTCAAAAGACTCTCGTCGTGATCGAGAAAGCCATAAAGATAAGGGTGAAGATAAATCATCGTCAAATCAAACAGCAGCCAATAATGTTGTTTCAACAACAACAGACCGAGCTTTTAAAGATAAACATCATCCATTATTAATTGCTATTTGGAATACAGATCGTACACAAACAAATCTGGAAGAAAAGCTTAAAGGTCTTCGTGATTTAATCAAAAAAGGAACAAGTATCATTTCATTAAATTATTTTTTTTCTTTTTTCAAATTATTTTTTTCTTTCAAAGATCCAAATGTTAATTGTGAAATTTTACATGAACAAACGGGTACACCTATAGCTCAAGTATCACCATTGATAATTGCTTGTTTCGAAGGTGACATTGATATCATTCGATTTCTTATTGAAGTAACATAAATAAATATTAGAATAATTTCATTTTTATTGTTCTAATTAAAGAATGGTGCTGATCCAAATCAAACAGAAAGTGAACATCATTTAACACCAATTCATGTTTTATGTGATGCTGAATATCATGGGCAAAGTTTACGAGTATATATTTTATTTACGATTGATATTATTTCGATATGATTTTATACATTTAGCAAAAAGATCGTGCTGACTTGGTTCGTTTATTAGTTAAACACGGTGCACAAGTTAATCATTTAGATCGAAACTCAATGGCACCTATTCATAAGTAAAACAAATAAATTCACACAATCAAAAAGAAAAGAAATCATTTATTTTATTAGAGCTGTTATTCATGATCGACCTGAATGTGTTCAAGTATTAATGGAATCACGTGCGGATCCAAATGTTCCCCTTATGGGTGATACACCATTGAGTATTGCAGCTCGACACAATCGAAAAAACATTGTTCAGTAATAAGATAGTTGAACATTGTTTAAATTTATAATGCTTTTTTTTCTTAGGATATTACTCAAATTTAAAGAAACTAATGTTAATCATCGTAATGATCAAGGTGGTACAGCGCTTCATTTTGCTAGTGCTGGTAAGTCTCATGATAATATACAAAACATAAAAAACAATAGTTTCTTGTTATAAAATAATTTTTAGCAATAGTTGATAGTCCAGAATGTGTCGAATTACTATTACAACATGGTGCTAAAGTAAACGCACAAGATTTGAAAAGTAACACGGCTGCAATGGTTGCTTGTTTTTTTAATAAACCAAGGATCTTAACGACTCTTATTCGAGCTGGTGCTGATCTTGTACCTCGCAATAATGAAGGTTTAAAAAAAAAGAAAAAAAATTCAGTGTCGAATTTTCTTTTACTTATATTTAGGAAAAGATGCATATGATGTAGCTGTAGAAAAAGAATTTGATGAATGCAAAGAAATTGTAGCTAAAGCGCTTGAAAAACGAGGTATTAAGGCAGGCGCTAAGCCAAATCAAACATCAACGACAACTGATAAATTAGCCAATGATGTTGACAAATTAAAAATTAAAAATTAAACGTTAGACAAAGTCGTTATATAATCAATTAGAACAATAAGAAAAAACCAAACGAATACTTGATAGTCACAAATAATCTTTTGTTTTTGTTTTTCATTGTTAATCTCTTCTTTTTTTCTCTTTTATGTAATTGCATGAAATGTTTCTTTTCTTCTCTGTCTAACTTAATTGCTACATCTGTTTTACCCTTATCTAATGTCTAGCATTTTTTCCGTATTGATCGATCCTCACATGATAGTTCAAAATATTTGATTCGTGTATGAATACTATTCTCTAACTTTTTGTTCGTATCTACTGACAATATTCTTTGTGACACACATTTTTCTATCATTTGCAAAAATCGTTCAACATAGCCGTAGTTCTAATACTTTCTTCCATTGATATTCCGCATGCTCATTTTTCCTAGTCTCTATTTGGCTCATTCTTGCAAGTACCAAGTTTCTTTATTGTATCCTGTTCCGATAATCTTCATAAGTGATCATTTTTGTTTTCTTTTGGATAGAAACAGCTATCTAACATGAATTTTTGGAATATGAAACATCTCAAAAAAATCTCGCGTAAAAAATTCAAATCAATCTTCGTTTCTGTCTATTTTTCCTGCTCCCACATTTTTTTTGTTTTTTTGTCTTTTTAGAACAACTAGCGTAATACCATGCATGAATGTTTCATTTCTCTTTTTATAGTGAAATAAAAAAAAGAAACATCGAATAGAATATTTATTGGTTTCTGAAATATTGACAACGTTCTACGATGATGATCTATTGATTCTCATTAGTTTTTTTTTTCATAAATGAAGTTTTATACTTCATCATCAATCGCACTATTATTCTGTTTTCTAAGAAAAGTTTCGGAAAGAAAAAAAATCAAAATAGTGACGATTGTAATTAAAATGATGGTTACCATTACAGAATATTTAATAAATATCAAGAGAAAACCTTCAATTATGAAAGAGGAAACAATCTCTGTCATATGTTAGTGCATGTTGAAAGGCATAACAAAATTCAAAATAAAAATTGATATTGATGTTCCTCTAGTGAGTTCTGTTTTTTTAATCAGTTCGTCGCATCATTATTTGGAAAATAACGATTTTTTCTGAAAAGAAACTGCAACACGCAAAGAACAACTCGTTAAATTCTAAATCAAATTTTCATATGAAAATAAGAATGAATTAAATGATATATTCATCAAACAATAGTTTAATTTTTTTGGAAATTTGTGTCTTTATTCCTGAAATAAAAGATGAAAAGTTACAATGCTTTCATTGTTCTTCTTACTGGTTGCTTTAATCTATAATTGCTGTGCATTATTAAGGTCAATCATCAAGGCCATTATCAAATTAACTTTTACTTCATGACTATTACATAATAACTCGTTGAAAGTAGCAAAAACTGAACAAATGAAACTTATTTAACTAGAACTTGAGCCTTGTGCTTAAAAGGACAATATTGAAAAGTTGTTAACTGGTACGTTACAATTAGTGAAATTACAGAACTAAAAGTTACCAAGGCAGATGGATCAAAGAGTAAGGTTTGTTTAGCAATAAGAATTTATACATGGCATGTTAAGTAACGACGATAAAAACCAGTTAGTCTCTTTAAAAATTGTTTCTTTTCAAACGAGCAAAGAATATTCCAGTGTTATATTGATAGAGCAAAGGCGTGAGACAGAGTCAGTAGCAGTGTCAGCACTGGACTCACTCTACTCAGAAGTATTTGAGCCTATCTTGAAATTTTTTTTAATGTAACTGTATTTAAGATTAATTTTTGATTAGATAAAGGTGGATTTAAATACAATATAAAAAGTTTTGTTTTGATTCCATCGATGTTTAAATCTAAACGATTTCTACTGCACTTTATTATCTAAATGAACTCATATTGATGTTAAATACATTTTTGATTATTTATCGAATGATAATAACCTTTAGAAAAATCTTGACCTTACAATTTACTTTTTAAAAAAAAGTATTTCTGATAAAAATTTCATTGAACTGTTTTATTTGAAAACCAATGAATAACCGTCAACTTAGTGATTTAATATATCTATTAATGAAATGTGTATTCGAAAGAGACATTGAACGAATGCTACATGTTTCACAGCAATCAAAAGAATAATAATATAATTTGATTCTTTTTTTTCTATAATGAAGACAGTAATCCTTTATGGTTCCAGCTGCGATAAAATCAATTGCGTTAATGAATATTTTAATCTTTTAACTGCGTATGCTAAATGGATTTGTATCGATCGGTGTTAGTCATTTCATCAAGAAAGTTCTTCAGTATATTTTTCAGTAGTAAACAAGAATATGTATCGTTATGAATTTCCCAAGTCGGGTAAGATTTAAGTGACAAGTCGACGCGTTTTTCGATAAATTTAAGCCTTGAATTGTATTGTTTCTAGCCAATAAGCTGTAGAATCGCCGAACGTCGTAATATTTAATAAATTTGCATAAAATTTCTAAAGAGTGTGGATAGATGTGGGTTTGGTACTCAATTCATCCACATCCACATCCACTTCACAGCAACATTTGCTAAAACTTAATCCCACTTGAAATGTATCAATGATTAATAAAAAGATACAAACAAATTCATTTTTAATTTTAACACAAAGTTTCTGTTCAACTTACATATAAGGTTTTCGTTTCTCAATGAAGCATTGTTACAATGTAATATCACTTATAGAATCAAGTCTTCTCGTCAATTTATCAAATAAAAGTCTCTTGAACTCTATGATTGATATGTAAGGGAAGTTAGCGAAGTATTCGAGTTTTTTCTAGATCGATTCGCACAATCAACTGTGCCAACTACGGAATGTTGTGTGCCAGATAGAGTTCAATGAGCTCTATCGAATGGTATATTTGCTTCTAAAAACGAAATCCACAACAAAGAAAAAAACCATAAAATATAATTTTTCATCATGGGGGGAAAAATGCAAAATAGATATTTTTCAGAAATATTCGATTCACGACTTGTGCCACTTTTCAAATTTGAATCAATTGATGTAACTCAACAAGCTCTATCTAATGGTGTATAATAAGCCCTGATAAATTGAATCAATGAAGATTTATATTTTGGTGTACATCTAAAATTAGCATTTCAGGAAGTGTTTCATATCCCAATTCGTTACATAAGTTGTGCCACACGGAAAAATAATCCCATTCGATTCAGTTTAACGAGCTCTATTGAATGATATATAATTTGTCATTACACAAATCAAACTTTAGCATAAAAGTTTTCTACAGTCTTAGATTTGTGCTGTACTGCAACAAGTACTCCAACCAATGATTCATAATGTGAATTCTATACTAAACTCGTATCAGCCAATGAGTTTCGACCATATCTCTCAATTGATATAAAACACATCATGAAAAACATTAAAATTCAACTTCTCCCATGTCCGTTGAATCGGCTAAAAATTGCCGATTAATCCCGATTCATCGAAACGATAATCGTGAGCTGAATCGCGATAGAATCGCCGATTATTCCCGATTATTTCAGCGATTTTTACGATAAATCGTGATTTTATGCAAGATTTAACCGTCTGTTTACTGATATTTTCTACTATTTTATCGGTTCTTTTGAAGACACATATTTGGATTTTTTCTTGAATTTAATTCAATTTTTTTTGTTCTCAACGTCCAAGCCGATCAGATCGTGCGATCTCGAGCTGGTCAGATTCTTATCAGACCGCTTCAGTGTAGTCCTCTCCAGATCATGGATCGGGATTGGCATTTCCTTGATTAAAAATAACCAAGAAATAATTTATCAAAAAAGTATATTTCGAAAACTTATTTGTTATGCATTGAACGGCGTTGTTTATATATCCGTGTGTGTTCATAACAAAACGGTGAATGAATAATCGTCATGAATTATCACGTAGGTGAAGTTAGCATCATATTCGAGTAAATCCTTCCCATATTCGCTCAGGAGAGCGTTCCAAGCGTACCAATCAGCGTTCCAAGTAGAACTCAACGAGCTCTATCTAATGGTAACTTTGGATTTTCCATAGCCCAAACCAATCGTGAGAAAAATCCAA